AATTAACAAAATTAACTATATTTAAGTGACAAATAATTAAAAATTAAATTAAAACATTTAACAATTAAGACACAGATTTCTAATGTAGAATAGGTTTAAAATTTTATGAAAACATTATGTTTTTGATTTAATTATTAAAATACTGTTTTAAAACAAAAATTAATGTCAATTTAATTTCTCCTAAATTTGTTGAGCATTTAAATCAAAGTATTAATTGAATTAACAATTTCTATATGTATTGCCAAATGAAACGCTAGTGGAGTTTGGGTGGAGTCCCGATACGGGCCGGTATATTGCGGCCAACAATCATGAGAATTACGGTGAAAAAGGTGACGATTTCAAGCAATAGGAATATCGCCGACCAGTTGTAGTGTTTGGCCACAAGACTGAACGGCAGACCCGACATAATGGCGCCGACTGTTCATTGAGTGGTTAATCCAAAGGTAATTAAAACAATTAACTTTTCATTTTAGTCACTAATAGTTTTCTACAATAGGATAATACATACAATTGGCGGCCAGGGCTACGATGGCGTGAGAGGTGCCGCTGAGATGCGGTGGCGCCGACTCGGAGGCCACCACTCCGAAGATGGCGATCGGGCCGTACAGACAGGCGCCCAACACGAAGCCCAGTGTTGTGATCATCAGCTGAGACGACGTGTCGGTGATGTGATAGCGGAAGCAATGGAGACAAAGGCCGACGACTGTCATCATAGCGATGGCGACCGGCATTCGGGCGTTGGATGGCGTCAACCGATTGATGGACTTCTTGCCATCGCCGGCACCCGTTTTGGCCGCCAACTGTCGCCGCAGTACCAGATCTGTGAGATAGCCGGCCAGTGCGCTGCCGAAGAATCCGCCCGACTCTACGCTACTCGTGAATGAAGAACCTGAACGACGAGTTGTTCCCAAAACGATTGATTGATTTAATGAACTTATTGTGCGCTAATTTGCGGACCAAACCTATGATTTGCGAGTGATGTCTGTCTTCAATCAAATACATTTGTCCCCAATCAACGGCACTGGTCTTCGAGGCGAAGACACTCATATACGACACGCTCACCAGCCATAGGAACGGACTCTTCAGTAGGTCTGTCCATTTGGTCTCACTCTTAGATTTATCTGTTAAATGAGATGTAAATACATTGCCATTAATTTCCAATACGTTTACTCAGAATCTAACACTACTTTTATTATTGTCATTAGTCTTGGGAACAACTGGCGATAGATTGGCATCTTGTGGACAGTTGACAACCGTAACGATGGCCACACCGGCCATCGCTATGGACACAGTGCCGGCCATCACAAGACTCGTACGCCAGCCGTAGTTAATGATGATGAAGGCGGCGATGAATGGCGAGAGACCGCCCGATATGTTGGCCGACGCTGACAGGAGTGACCAGAATGTGCCGAACTGTGAGGGAGCGAACCATTGGCGCAACACTTTGGCACAGGCGGGCCAACCCAAGCCCTGAGCCAAACCGTTGAGAAACCACAGGCCGGCGAAGACGGCTATGGAGTCGCTTTGGGCGAACAGAATGGTGGCCACACCCGACACCACGAGCCCACTGCTGAACAGGAGTCGTGAGGACAACCGGTCGGACAGCACACCGCCGATGAATTTGCTGATGGCGTACGCGATGTTTTGCGAACTGATTATAAGACCTGTTGTTTTGGCCGATGATATGCGTGAAGATATTGATTACAGGCATTAGATTGTAATTAATTAGTGTTTTTGTGATTTAATTGTGTATTAATTTTTTTATGTTTTATTTTACAATTACTTTTGATTTTTATCTAATCTAATGAATTGATTATATTTTTTGTTTGATTTTTTAAAATTTAAAGTCACATTAAATGAGAACTTAATAAAAAAGTTTACGAAATTATGGCTAAAATGTATACTATTTTGTACTAAAATTTTTTTACTTTCCTTTAGGCTATTGTATGAAAAATGACACATTATTTTCGATACAAAACTTTTTCAAAATACAATTTTCATTGAATTGATTGATAAAAATCTGATCGCGTTTTTAACCCCAATTTTTAAGCAAAAAATATATTAATACATTAAATATTAGTTTCATTTCAGCAAAATATGTATCAATAAATCTCAACCAAAGCTAATCTAATTTCAGATATCAATTAAAAAACATTAATCCAAATAAAGTTAATCCGAAACATGAATTTCGCAAAACTTAAACAAAAACTAAACTGATTTCATATAAATGTCGACTAATTTTGTTTGAAATATAAAATATTTATTTTAATTCATAATTAAATGCAAAACTATTAGCAAATGATATAAATAAATGCAATAATAATAATAAAAGGTCGGATCACATGCCGGCGTCACTCTTCTGGAGACCATTCCTCATGAGCTCAGGCATAGCCAGGGATACACTCTTGCGATTGTATGCATAGAGAGCGTATCCGATGAATAGGGTCACAAATATAGACCATTGGTAATACTTTAAACTAGATTTATCACGATCATTTTGCTGATTATTATTATTAGTTGCGGCACTTTTTGCGCTCGACTTTTTGGGTGGCATTGGATTAA